TAATACCTAGGTTATTATTTTCCCCGTAAATGGGATCGCCTGAGCAACAACCAGCATGCAGGCATCTCAGCTCCAAGTGCGATCCAAAGCACTTGGGCCAAATTCTCAGCTGGGGCTTGCATGACTAACCCAAACTAGCAGTCCTGTAAATAGGAACTGACCTTGTTTTCTTTCTCCTGCTGTAAATTCTTCTCTCAGCCCACAGGCAAGACCTGCCTGGGGTGAGGAGCCATGGATGGCCACAGCTGCTGCACTCACCTGAGACACCGGTGGGAATTTATCACAGTAATCCCTGTGGGATGTGACACTTCACCCACTTGCTCTCGACAAGATGTCCTGGATAAGTGGCTACTGCTGAGCTGGGATTTCAAGCTTGTCATTTCTGCTATGTTATTTTATTTCAGATGTGTTGCTAGAAGGATGCCGTCACCGTGCTTCTAAAAGGCAAAGCTGAGATCCTCCTCCCACCAGCACTGACTGAGCTGCAAACCTGCACAAGCCCAGCAACTTCACTGGCTTCCGCGTGTTGTGTGGCTCCTGCCCCTAAGATTTAAAGCCATTAAGAATTTGGGGAATTTTTTTATTCATAAAAGCAACGATTCCAGGAATCACCTGCAAAAAACTCACAGGATCAGCCCAGCTACAAGATATTGGCCTTCAAGTAAAAATGCGGAAGAGCTCAGCCCCCCCCCTTTCTGGGGCTAGGCTGGTGGGGCTGGAAGGGTTTGTGTCCCTGCAGCTGGCACAAAATCTTTGGGTGCCTGCAGCTGGCACAAAATCTTTCCAGTGCTTAGAGGCCCATCTACAGACCGCTTTGGTTCACCAGGGAGAAGGAAGGGCCCTTAATACTTCATTCCAACATCCCTGGAAATCCATCTGAGATTCCTAATGGTCGCAGACATTTTTCCTGCTCCCCAACCCCAAGGCCAGACAGCTTCTCATCTGCACAAGTCAGCTGTGGAGATTTCCAAGCCCTAATTTCACTCCGCATAGTGGAGTGCTTAGATCTGTACCCATTAGCAGCGGCCGAGCACCCAAATTGCTCAGTGATCAAGCAGAGAGGCTTTTCTGCTGGGAACCCATGATTTAAACCTTTGACTTCAAAACGACAGCAGTTTAACTTCATTTGAGGGCACAGAGGGAACTTTCTGGAAGTTTGGCTCTCTGCCCTGCGCAGCACAAAGGTCCTGCTAAGGGCATTGAAAGAGTAAGAGCTGGCTGCTGATATCCATCCGCCGTGAAGCACGTCGGATCGTACTGTTCTCTAACCTGGACCTTTCCCCTTTGAAGGTCTCGAGCGTGTAAAACGCCCACAACAAGAGCACAGGTCTTCTTCCATCAATCCTGCGTCACCCTTCAAGCAGGTGCGAATGGGACGCTCCACGATGGAGCTGTGTTGACCATGCTCTGCCCAAACAGGCCCACGGCTGGAGGCTACACTTACCCGGACTGATGCCAACAGCCTGCGTGTCCTCAGCGCGGGTGGGAGAGCTCCTGCTCCCTCTGGGAGAACTGCAGCGATGCCCTTTGGGCACGGTGCACCCACAGACACACTTCCCTCCCACGTGGGCAGACACCTACCCACACCTCGCTGTCCTTACAGGGACACCACACCACCAGCCAAACTGGTTTTTAGGACCATATGGATGTAAGAAAGTGGGCCTGAGGAGCACCCCAAGCTTGGGGTTAACATTTACAAACATGCAGTCTGGGTACAGGAACGCATCTGCAAGCGATGCTCTGTTCTTACGTGACGTCTCTTTTGAGCTTCCTGAACGTAACTGCGCGATGCTGGTGAGCGGCACCAGCAGGGATGGATGAAACGGGAGGTTAATCTGCGTCGGCCATCGCTCTTGATTCCTCCTTCATTTCCATTTCTTTTTAAAATAGAGTTCTATTAAAACAGCAGCACTTTTCTATTAAATAAGTAACAGAGAAGAATGACTGCTTCTGTATTTCATCAGCAGTGAATCTTTTTAAAATCACTCAAGAGGCAAGGCTCAAATCATATATTTAATAAGAATCACTTTGATATCACTTTTTAAAGCAATTAACATATCATTAGAGATAAGCGCAAGATGCAACATTTAGATCCAGATTTCTAAGACAGATTTCTATGGTTTAGGAGGGTGCAGACCTCGGGTCGTCGCCTTGGCAATCATCTTCGCATGTCACAAACCAATGCCAGAACAGAACTTCAGCTACACGGACACAGCAGATTAAATCCTCACTTTTAATCCTGATTTTACTCACGCTGCTTCTTTTCAGCAACTTGAAAGCACTCTGTGTACACCAGTGGGAAGGGGCAAGCCACCTCAGCAGGGTTTCTGCCCCACCTGAGGCTCCTGGAGCACAGTGTTCATTTCCACCGCCCCCGTCCTTTTGGATATTCAGTCATTTGCTTTCTTCACGGAGCATGAATGAAACAACGGAACCTCGATCTTGTAAAGGATGACAGCGCCCGTCACCGCGGCGATCCCCATCGCCAGGTCGCCTCGTGTTGCCTGAGGGCCAGCTCCCAAGCGCACGTCCATCACCTCCAACGCGCAGAGCAGCTGCCACCAGGCAGCTGGAGGTGCTCGGCGGTGAACCCCGCTGCTGCCTCCCGAGCGGAGCCGCGTGGCCGTCCCGGAGTGGCTCTGGCTGGCAATCCGGCATGGTAAGTAGAGCAAGTCCCTCCCGGCTGGTGGCTGAAGCATGTCCTGCCAATTACGGTAGCCGGGGTGCAGCCACACATTCATTTCTGCTGCCGGTGACGGGGACAGAAACCTCCAGTAGCTGAAGCAGATGGAAGGCTGGGGGCAGTGACACCTTCTACCACCACAATTAAATCTGACAAAGCCCATCTGCTGGCGCCCTGAGCGCTGGCAGGACCAGAGCTGAGCTGGGAACCGTGAATTACAGCAGAGGCAACATCCAAGAGCTTTTTGGTTGTTTATCCCGAAACATGCAGGCTTTTCCCGACGCTAAACAATACGTGGCTTCCACTGATGACTGACAGCAAGCTGACTGCTCACTGAAAGGGCACTTCACCATTTCAACCGTTCGCTGTGAAGTCTCACATCCCCCAGACCTTCCTGGAGTCCACTCCACCAGTAAATTGCTTTGCTTAGAAGGCAGCACCAAATGCAAGGGGAACCATATCATGCATCTAAAGACATTGTGATCGTGTTGGTTTTGCAAGTGCTAGAATTTATTACACAAGAGATGATGCAACAGCGAGTAAGAGAGCAAAATTCTACATTGACTCCCTACTTTGCAATTCAGGACAACGAAGAGGTTTTACTCATTAAGGAAGGCAAGGGAAAAAAATCAGAGACAACCCCAATGGATGAGGAAGTCTTGTCAAGCCTAAATGAACGATCAGTCCTATGTGATGCTCACTGCTGTAGAAGGAACAATGAAATAAATCTGCTTCTGTTCAATAAATTACTAAAACATCAGTTGTAAACCTGCTGCATGGCATTGAAAATTAAACTCATTAAACATCCAGGTAGCTTCATCCTGATGCAAATGGAAGACAGGCATGAGTGCTCTGCAGCAAACAACTCTGTGCACATCCCGATTTTGAGAAACATATTTACACGTACATCTCATATATTAACATATTTTAGTGCACCCTAGCCAGAGGGCAACCAGAAAGAGTATTATTCCATGAGAAGGACAGGAGACGGGCTGGCTTCTCCTCTCCACTGAGCGAAGCCTGTATCCACCCATTAGTCTAGCATCCACGTAAAACAACTTTGCAAGACCACATTTCCCTTTTAGAGGTAGCCAGACACCAGGACCACAGACCAACGGTCTCCCATGACAGCTAAGTAGAAGAAAAAGCAGGTGGGCTCGCCCCACCATATTAACAAGCCTCAAGCGACTTCAAGGTCAAGAACTTCAGCCCAGCTGCCACTTACTGGTCTTTCGCCCTCCCTCTCCCTTCCCTACTTCACCACTGCTCATGAAGGACTGCAGAAACGTGCGGTGTTCGGGGTGGACCATGACCACAGTCCTGTGCTGACCAGGCAGGCTAGACATTGCTTGAGCCTCAGGAAGAGAACTACACTGCTACAAAGTGATGGAGACTACCACTGCTGGTGTCTCCATTCAGAGCAAGGACACCTTAAAAACAAACCCTATAGCCTCCAGCAGCGGGAAGCCCTAGGGGGGACTTTCTCTGCTGTTACCTGCTCTCAGCCTTGTGCACACACCGGCGTGTCCATTCCTACTTCTACAAGCAAAGAGAACTCAGGAAGAGAACTACACTGCTACAAAGTGATGGAGACTACCACTGCTGGTGTCTCCATTCAGAGCAAGGACACCTTAAAAACAAACCCTATAGCCTCCAGCAGCGGGAAGCCCTAGGGGGGACTTTCTCTGCTGTTACCTGCTCTCAGCCTTGTGCACACACCGGCGTGTCCATTCCTACTTCTCCCAGCAAAGAAAAACGGTAGGGACGGGTCCGCAAGGGGACAGCGCCAGGCCAGCGGCCCCGCCGGGAGGGCACGGTGGATCTGCAGCTCCCCAGGCTCCTTGCTGGCCAACACCTTGCTGTGCAACGCTGCGGGGCACGCAACACCGTGCCAGCCCCCCTCACCACCCGTGCATCTCACCGAGCCGGCACGGGCAGGCAGACCCCTGAGGGCCTTTCCAAGGGGAACCCACCCGGGGTCTCCACGGGAGGGACTGGTGCTGCATGGGGCTGGCTTGTGAAGCAGCGCGCGGGCGATGGACAGGGGACAATGGGAGATGAGGGGGTTTATTCAATAGGATTTTGTTTAATGACATCTGTGATTAAGGGTTGGAAAGATCCATGGGAGCACTCTGCCTCTGACAGACTCAAGAAAGGAGCTGCTCAACACAAGGGCAGGAGAGGGGAAAAAGAGAGAGAGGACCTAGCAAAACACCACGTCTTTCAAACTCAGCTCATTTGAGGCTTGGCAACCTTCTCCTCTCACGAGCATGTCAGCTTTCATGCTTGTCAGGCAGGTATATCCAGGGTCTCTCGGCTCCGATCGTGGTGCAAACCTACCTGGCCCTTTGGGAGAGCCTGGAGTCGTCTGGGAAAGCGACAATTCCCTGTCAGTAAAATGCTCACAAGACTGCATGAGCTTATTACCGTCATTCCAGCAGAAATAAGTGGTACCTTTTAGAGCGCTTGCCAGAAGAAAATAGCAGTTCTGACCCAATTTCACACAGTTGGAATCAGCTGTGGGAGACTAATATACAATAAAAATAAAGACACAAATGCCCATTTCCCCCATGTCCTCTCCTAATAACATGAATAAAGCTCTGTTTCGATATCTTGTCCTTTCCAAAGGAGTCCAGTCAGATCAGTCCAAGTCAGCCGCGTTGCAAGCCAAACTCCCCTGACTCCTCCACCTTTTACTTGATGAAATTTTTAATCGTCCACCTTTGTCCTGTGCAGCTGCGGAGAATCAGATCGATGCCGGCCATTCCCCTGTTCTCCACTTCCAAGCATCGTCCCGTTCCCTTGTTCAGGATGGCACCATTCTAAAATTCAAGGATATGAGGAAAACAGTTAACAAATGAAGACATGGGATCGCCTGTGAAGCAAGCCAGGAGCGTGCGCTGCCCCGCAGTGCAGCTGTGTCCTTGGGCACTGCTGGGAAGTGCACAGCACGTAGCTGGGCGGTAACGCAATTCAAACAATAAAATAATTCCTAACATGATCACTGGGAATTGAATGAGCAACCTCTACCTCTGACAACACAGATCCCTAAGGCATCAACCACCAAGGACATCTGTAACCTCTGAACGGGACGGCTGCAGCCCTGCGTTAGGAAGGTGTGACACGTCCCTACAGTGCACATTATCTGCTCTGCTCTCTGCTTTGGGACAAAAGTACCACGTTTTCCTGTATTGCACCACAGATTATCTGTAAGAAACAAAGAAATCTGAAAGTCACCCAGAGGGCAGGTTCCATACACCTGAGCGTACCAGAAAGGGAAACTCTTACTGGAAATTGTCCTGAAATACTGTCCCTGCCCCTGATCCCTCTTAACCTTTTCCCTCTGTCCAAGGCCCTGGCACCTGCTCTCGCATACGACCATTTCATCCTTGTCCCCCACTGTCCCATGCCAAAGACCATGTGCCACAGCCCACGGTTTGGGAAGTAGAGGAGCAGCATCGATGGCAGACCCGTAACAGACCTGTATGAAATTCCAGCGCTTATGGAGGCTGCTCTTGACCTTCTCGCAATCGAGGAGCTGAGGGAAGCGGCTTTTCACGTTATCCACCAGGCAGCGGGTATCGGGTAGAAGCGTCGTGGTCCCGAGGGCGCCGAGATGAAGGAAGCCCTCCTTGGTGTAGCGTGCAAGCTGGGGGCAGGGAAGGAGAGGAAAAAGACCATCAGTATCTTTGGAGCATCATTAAAATGCGACAGAGGACAGGCCAAGTTTCCAGAGCCCCAGGAAAAAAAAATGCGATGATGGTGCACAGAGAAAGTAAAACTGATGAGAGGGAAAACCCCACCTTTCTTCAGCCTTTCTCTCTTGCTGTTTTGGGGCTTTCTGCAGATGCACTTGAGGAGCTGCAGCATAGGGAAGGGATAAGTAACTCTGCGCCTTAAACCCATCACGGGGCAGACTCCTCCAGCCTCCTCCGGGCCCGAACACTCTGCAGGCTGGGGCGATGGATGATTTCTCTTGGTTTTCAGCCAGAGCCAGCTGGCTTGGCCGGCCATGCTGGCCCAGCCTG